CTTGCTCTTTCACGATACATATAGATAAAAGGTAAAGGTTCCCTTGCTCAAAAGCCAGTCGAGTCCGACTCTAGGGTTGCGGTGCTCATCTCCGTTTCAAATCCAAAGAGCCAGCGCTGTCCGAAGACGTTTCCATGGTCATGTGGCCGGCATGACTAAACACCAAGGTGCACGGAACGCTGTTACCTGCCCACTGAAGTGGTACTTATTTATCTACTTGCAATTTCTTGCTTTCGAACTGCTAGGTTGGCAGGAGCTGGAACTAGAGACAGGAGCTCACTCTCGTCATGCGGCAACTCGGGTCTCGAACTGCTGAACTACCGACCTTCCACAGCCTGCAGTTCAGCGTCTTAACCACTTGAGCCACCGCAGCTCCATATACATATACATATTCAGATATAAATGATGAAGGAAAGTACCCTGCACATAATTAGAGGCACTGTGGCATTTGCTGTCATTCATTCATACCAGGGATTTATTTAAAAAACGGAACAGAACAATCTGCTGTTATTCAAATACATAATAATAATAATAATAACAATTAAGTGCCATCAAGTCACAACAAAATTATAAGAAGCTGATGATAGATGGTTTTCAAGGCGAAAGATGGGCAGTTTGCCATTGCTTTCCTCTCCACTGAGAAACACTTGTCTTTCTCTCTGGCCTCCCATTTGAATACTAACCATGGCCAACCCTTATTAGCTGTGCAGAGCTTTGGATAGTCCAGGATACCAAGAGCCAGAGTGGTGTAGTGCTTACAAGTAGCAGATCTGAAAGACCCAGGTTCGAATCCCTACTCGTGCCACGAAAGCTTGCTGGGTGACCTTGAGCCAGTCACACTCTCTCAGTCCAACCTACCCCACAGGGCTGTTGTTGGGTGGATGAAATAGAGAAGAGGAGAATGACTCCCACTGGGGAGAAAGATGGGGTATAAAAAAAGTGAACAAATAAAATGTAGACTTTTAATCACATATACACGAGGTTCAGATAACCTCAAGGACAGAGTTTCACGATTCCGTTTCTCGGGGCTGCATCCTGGATGAAGCCGCTCTGCTCCGTGCATGATTCCTACCCCCCAGCACGGATCCCTGCCATCTGTTTTGCTGTGTGAACATGCTCAGGGACAACACTGCCAGTGTTACCATTATGTGATGGCTGTATGAGCAAAACGTATGACCTCCCGCGCATCAGTTTCAGCTCCAGACGAGGAACATACGTGTCTAAGAAGCTAGGCGAAATCACGGATGCCATACATGGGTCAACAGACACGTGGAACGCTTCACACGCGACTAGGACCACCTTTTCCCCACTTACGTCCAAAAAAAAAGTAACGCAGCACCGGCTGGGGGAGGGGGTAAGAAAGAAGTGTGGGGCACCGCCACTTAGGAAGCGGGCTATGTACACGTGTGAACCCCCTTCGTTCGAAAAGGGAAGGTCCCAATTCGGGTAGTGCTGGCGGAGCCTTCGCACAGAGTCCAAGGTAGGCCGCTCTGCCCCGGGAGGTCCGTCCGCCGTCCTTAGGGATTGTGGGCGTGCGCCGTCCGGCTCTGCCCGGGAGGGGAGGGGGTTGCTCCGCGCTCCTTCCTTCCCATCCCCAAACCCCGTGAAGCGCGGCTGCTGCTCAGTCCCGGGAGGCGCAGCCACTCCCCCGGAGCCAGCCTGGCGTTCACGTGCCCGACGGCTGCGTTTTCACCGGGACGCTCGGCCGCCATTGGCTGGACTGGAAGGTTCGAGGCGCGCCCATTGGCTGCGGCGCGGCTGCCTCCCCTGCAGGAGAGTTCGCGATGGAACGAGCATTCTTAAGAAGTAACGACAGCGCCATGCAGAGACGCCGGGGCTGGAGCTGAGAGCGAGCCGGGAGAGTTGAGGGGTCGGGTGGGCTGGGCAGCAGGGCGGATCGGGAACCCGCACCGTTGAGCCTGCCTGCAAGCGAGAGTCGGGATTTGGGAGGCCGTAGGAAGCAGTGGGGGCTCTAGACACCCAGGTAAGGGGCGTGGAGGTGGAGGAAGCTCCATCGGGTGCCCTCTCCTTCCTTCTGTCCCTTCCCTCCACCCTGAGCGGGGTCGTCTTTCCCTTTGCTTCCGAGGTCGGCCTTGAAGCCAGCCAGGTCCGCAGTGCATTTTCGGGCCCCAGACGAGCTTGCACCTCTCTGGAAAGTTTTGCAAACTTGCATCGGGTCGGTTTGCAGTTGCCCAGTATGCCTCGGAAAGCGTTTCAGTAGCCCTGTTTCCTCTTGCCGGGCGCAGGGACGCGTAGGAGGGCGCCTAATAGAACCGGGCTGCGATCCCGTGCGTACTTAATCTCCTGCCAGATCCCATTGCAGTCGGTAGGATGCCACTGGATCGAATCCAGCTATCGGGACAAAGGGGGAAAAACTTATGCCGGGATCCTCAGATCTTGCAAAGCGCTTGCTGCGAGACAGTTTTGGAAAGATGGGGGGAGGGGGGGCGCAGAGGTGGTTTGCTTTTTAGCCGGCTTCTGGGGCTCCTTTCCACAGGGAGTGGGCCGGGGAAGGGGTGGAGGAATGAGCTGGTTTCTTCTTTCTTGGTAGATTTGGTGCAATCTTTGAATTAAAGCGCTCTTCCCTGGTGCGATTCGGAGACGGCAGTCAATGCAGTCCTAAACAGAGTCGCGCCCTTCTGCGTCTGTTGAAAACCATGGGTTTAGAACGGGGTAAGTGACCTTAAGTCTGCTTAGGAACGCCCTGTGTGTACTCCAGATATGGCCCCAATCAAGTCGGCTGAAGCCCTAAGATTGTCTTTAAATGTCAAATCGGATCTGTTAATGTTTCATCTGATGTTTGAGGAGGCACCTGCTGAATAGGCACTTCCTAATCTTCTTCTGGCGTTTCCTTACTCGGCAGTTTTTAAACAGATCCTCTCAATTGCTTTTTCCTCTCCCAAGGACCATGAGGACTAGAACCTTTTTTCCCCTTAATGGGCAGAACTCTCACCCCGCTTCACTCGGATTGGTTGAAACCCTCCAGCCTCCCCACTTCTGTGCATGTTTGCTCAGAAGTCAATCTTGCTTGGCTCGCTGGGACTTACTGCCAAGTCCGGAGCTTGCATCTTTGGTTTGATTTCCAGATTTTGTTAGACAAGGGGGACGTGACTGTAGGAGTTTACCTAGATCTTGTTTCCTTGAAGATCAGAAGATGGTTTTCTTGGGCCTGCAGGGCAGCTTTGACATTTTGTTTTCAGTCAGACTCTTTTTTTCATCCGTCCCTGTCATGTTGTTTTAGGTGGTGACTCCTTGTAACGGCTGCAGGATGGGAAATCCTGGTGCATTTCTAGTCTGCTAGGAATACCTTGGAACGTCTCTCCAGCTAACCCCTCTTGTCCTTATGAGGTAAGTAAAATTTAACACTACTTTTTTAAAAAAGAGAGAGAATATCCCATGATCTTGCTTGCCCGAGGTCCCTCAACAAGCCATGGCAGGGTTTGGAATAAAGCCAAGCCCTGTAGGTATGCCGCAACCGTGTGTTGATTTTCGACTGCCATCCTTTCTCCTGAGAAATTCCTCCAACTCTAGCTTGGTGCGTTTCTGTGAATTCTGTTAGAGATGCATACCCACCCATCAAACATTACCGGTAATTGACATGTAGCTTACCAATCCGTAAAGTTTCCACGGCCCCAAAAGAGGCTCTTGTGAGTCCCTGAAAGCCAGCAGGATGTAGTGATTACAGTGCTGGATTAGGGATCTAAGCGACCCAGGTTCGAATCCCCACTCATCCAGGGAAGCTTGCTGGGCGACCTTGGGCCAGTCCCATGCTCTCAGCCTAACCTACCTCACAAGGTTGTTGTGAGGATGAAGGGGAGAAGGCTGTCCGCCACTTTGGGTCCCCATTGCGGAGAAAACTGAGGTGCCAATAAATTTGATAGGAAGTGGCAGGGGTCATTTCGTAGAAAAAGAGGTGCAGGAGCTCATTAGCATAACTTATTAGCATAATTTATTTGCATATGCCACACCCCCTGACATCACCGGAAGCGTGTCAGAAGGCAACACCCACCACTCAGGCTCCACTGGACTGTTTTGGATTGCTAGCTACTGGAGGGGGGGAAACGTGCAGATCTGTCCTCACAGAGGAGAGAGAGCTTGTACATGAATAAAACGTGGTCTTAAAGGTGCCACTGGACTGTTTCAGATTGCTAGCTATGGGGGGGAAACGCGCAGATATGCCCTCACAGAGGAGGGAGAGCTTGTACCTGAAGGCAGTGGGGGGGGGGGCTCTGCAATTTACCTGGCTGCCTCTTGCTCCTCGTGGCCCAACTGAGGGTGGCTGGGAGCAGGGAGTGGGGCTTATTGCATGTGCCCACCCCCTGGGCTCCTTACTGCCGGAGCTCCGCTCCTGTGCACTCCTGCAGGAAATGACCCCTGGGAAGTGGCATGCACAAGGTCTCACAAAAATTAATGACTGCACACAGGAGCACACTGTGCAGTTGTTACAGTGCACTGGCCACAGATCTGCACATGGTTTGCATACCGGCAGCTGTTCTCTTCTATCCCATTTCCATAAAGCATCTCTAAGAAGCCCCTTAGTCCCATAAGAATCTCTGCTTGCCCTTCCCTCCATATCCTGGTATTCCAGCATCCCGCTGAACACTCCAATACATACTTCAATTGAAAGATTCCATTTTATTTTTTAAAGACTGGAGATCCCTGAACAGGACCTCAGTTCTCCTGGGGAGAGTAAATGGCTGTTAAATTAGTTCAGGGGCTGCGGTCTTTTGCACATTGACCTGGGAGCCAGCCCCAGAGTGCACAGTGCAGCTTGGCTGTAAGTGAATCTGTGCAGGGACAGTCTGTGTTTAGTATGAAGTTGCCCCAGTTGGCCGTCTGACCATTTCCCAAGACCTTATTCCAAGTGTTCAGGTGTCAGTGGGTTTGTTTGTTTTTTGGAGGGGAGGATATTTTTGAAGGGTGTGGGTGTGTGTGTCTTGGATGCCCTTGTGGTATCTGATACCCCCTTTATGACCATGACCCTTTGTCTTCATGGGTTGCCAACGCTGGGTTGGAGAGTTTTCCTTTTTTTAGTAAAATCGATAAAATAAATATTGAACTTTAAAACGGGGTGAATAATTCCGCTGAGATTGCATGGGTCCTAAAACTCTTGTATTTGGATGCTAAGTGATAGAAAGCGTTACCTGTTGTTTAAGTATCTGCTGTATGCAGATGGTCTTCTGCTTTGAAGAGCAATTGTCAAGGAGTGGACAACCTGTCTCCAGGAGCACTTGAGACCGACAAGATTTTTGGGAAGAGCAAGAGTCCAATGGCATCTTAAAGACTAACAGAGACTACAGTCAGAGTTGGGCAGCAGAGCTCAGCTGCCTGGGGAGGTGGTGAACTCCCCCTCCCTGGAAGTCTTTAAGCAGCAGCTGGATAACCCCTTGTCAGGGATGCTCTAGGCAGGGCCGGCTCACTCACTAGGCGATCGCCTAGAGCGGGATGGCCCTTAGGGGCAACAAACTGCACCTGGGAGTTTCTTGATTATTTGTGTTTTTCATTCTTCCTAAAATGCATTTATTTTTTAAAATTGGTGGGCGCACGGCGGGGGGGGGGCATAAGGGATCCTCGCCTAGGGTGCAAAATAAGCTGGAGCCGGCCCTGGCTCTAGGCTGGTCCTGCACTGAGCAGGGGGTTGGACTAGATGTCCTCCATGGCCCCTGCGAACTCTGTGATTCCGTGATTCTCTAATAATTCATGGCAGGGCATGACCTCTCATGAGTCACTGCTCACTTCTTCAGACTTTTGGAGTATAAGCTTTCCAGAGTTAAAGTTCCATTTGTCAGAGATTTTATTGATTTATGTTATTTGTCGTCCACCTTTCTCACAGGGACTCCAGGCAGATTACACCTAGTGAGTCAGGACCAGTGCCCCCTCTAAGCTGTGGAGTCTTGTGAGAAAAAAATGTGCTTTGTGAGCTACGGGCATTAAAGTTGTGAGCGAGCGATTTGGCCACTGCATGAATGAGTTTGCTCTGCGCTAAGACAAAAACGCGTGAGCCAAAGGCTAAAAAACTGTGAGCTAGCTCACACTAACTCAGCTTAGAGGGAACACTGGTCAGGACAGTCAACAAAATGGGACATTCGGTAATTGACGCATTAGGATATTAGAAGTCTGGAAGCACCCGAAAGCACAGTGTAAGAATCAACATGTCACATTAAGCAGTACAAAAATGTAACAATAGGATTCTACTTAAAATAGGCTTAGTAATACTAAGCAAGGATCCTGCTTACAAGAAGAAACAATAAGACACAGTCCTTCTATCCCAGTCACAAGGTGGGGGGTGCAAAGAAGGGAATCGGGAAGCAAAGGTACGATGCACTGCAATCCACTACATTTTGCACTGTACCTTTGCCTCCTGACTCCTATCTTTGCAAGTCCCCCTCCTGCCTTCTGACTGAGATACGTAGAAGGACTCCGGGATCTCCATTCCAATTTGTAATGAAGAGAGCTTTGACTCTCCAGAGCCAGTTTGGTGTAGTGCTTAGGAGCGCGGACTCTAACCTAGAAGAATCGGGTTTGATTCCCCACTCCTCCACATGCAGCCAGCTGGGTGACCTTGGGTCAGTCACAAGTTCTCCCAGAGCTGTTCTATCAAGGGGAGTTCTCAAGAGAGCTCTTTCTCGGCCCCACAGGGTGTCTTTTGTGGGGAGAGGAAGGGAAAGGAGTTTGTAAGCCGCTCTGAGACTCCTTTGGGTAGTGAAGGGCAGGGTATAAATCCAATCTCTTCTTCTTCTTTTTCTCTCTATCCTGAAACTCATGTTAGACTCTAAGGTGCTCCTGGACTTAAGAACATAAGAGAAGCCGTGTTGGATCGGGCCAATGGCCCGTCCAGTCCAACACTCTCTTGTCACACAGTGGCCAAAGATACCAGGTGCCATCAGGAGGTCCAGCAGTGGGGCCAGAACTCCAGAAGCCCTACTGGTGGACCTGCTGATGAATCTTAACAGTTCTACTGCAGACCAACACGGCTACCCTCCTGAAACAATTCCTGGGGTAAGTCTTTGTCCGTGATCCTTGGCCCTTTCCCTGTGTGGTCCCTGCCATCTAGATTCCATATCTCTGTACGTGGAGGAACCCTTCAGTACTTGCTGGTGTTTACCTTCATGCCCTGTCTAGCATTGTTAGCGCAAGAACGCAGGGTGATCTAATCCAGAAAAGCAGTTCTTATGCTTACAATGGCCCCAGGGCTCTACTCAGACATTCTTTCTGTTTGAATCTTTTCAAGCCCTATGTCATGAATATCCTCCGGTCTTGACTTGACCCGGTTGCATAGACTCACTGCTTCGTTAGGGTGTAAAAGTAACAGAAAGCTCAGAATTCTAACACAGTATATAGTCTAGGGTTGCCAAGTTGATCTTCGCCGGGAGCGTGGGGCTCCTGGCCGGTGTCTGGTGCGCACGCGCCACGCGCACGTCACCCGGAAGTGACGGGAGGACACTGGGCATGCTGGGGGCGGGACCACGGCCATAGAGTTTTCCCTTGTATGGCCGTGGCCCCACCCCCAGCGTGCCCAGCATCCTCCCGTCACTTCCGGGTGACGCGCATGTCGGGGAGGAAT